TGCTTTGCTTGCTCTTGCTTCTGCTTCTGCTTTTGCCTTTGCTTTTGCTTGGTAGTTTAGCTAAGCAGTCCATTTTTTTCCCTGGACTGCTTTTGTTTTTTTCCTTTCCCTTTCCTGAATATCATCCCAACCTGCTCCAGACTGGGACCTGGGAAACACTGAGGAACACTGAGAGTCTGCGCTTTGTGATTTGCAGTGCTGAAGAGCAATCCCCAGTGTCCAGACCCGGGCGAGAGACTCTCTGGATTTGTGATCTCTTCAGAGTGGTGAAAGAGTTTGGTTATCATCTGGTGTTGCTCTTTTTTTTTTTTTTTTTTTTTTGTGCGGGGGAGTGTTTTGTTTGTTAAATAAACAGGTTCTTTTCCACTTCTCTCTGAGAAAATTCTTCCCGAACCAGGTGGGTGGGGAGGGGCTGTGTTTGTTTTTTTCCTGGGGGCTCCTTCCAGAGGGTTTTCTCCCAAATTTGCCCTAAACTAGGACATCAGCTTAAGGGGTATTGTTTTAAAAAACAGCTGTTCAAAGGCAAAAGTTCTCATTATCTATCTCTAAAATAATCTTAATCCCTGGGAAGAGAAATCTTCTTCTTCTCTGGGAAGCACCTGACTACTCTTCTCTCTTTCTCTGTTCAGCCTTCTCATGGGATCACAGCTATTTCAACATCTGCTTATCTTAGCATGGAGGCCTTTGTTTGATATCAATTTGAACAATTTAATCTCCCCATAGTTTCATGCGTTATAAGGAAAAAAGAGTCTTTTTTCCATAGTTTACAAGAGGATTTCAGCTCCAAAAACAAGGCATCTCCTCACCTCTCCCATCTGGGACTTAACTCCTTCCTCGCTGACCTTGATGTCTTCCTGCTCTTCCTTTACATGCTTGCATCTTGTTCTTTTCTCTCACTCGAGGTAGGATTGAAGCACTGAAAGGGTTAACATCACGCCTAAGGCCCACCTGACTGGAGCTGCTGAGTCAGGATCGGCCTCATGGTTGGTCTTTGGTTTTTTGTACGGGCTGCAGGGGTCTCTGGTCTCAGCCGTGCAGGGGGAAGAGGATCTGACGGCAAGGTCTTCACATCCATGGCCAGGATCTGATGGCAAGGTCTTCACATCCATGGCCAGGATCTGATGGCAAGGTCTTCACATCCATGGCCAGGATCTGATGGCAAGGTTTTCACATCCATGGCCAGGATCTGATGGCAAGATCTTCACATCCATGGAGCCGGAATCTGATGGCAAGATCTTCACCTCCATGGAGCCGGGATCTGATGGCAAGATCTTCAATCCATGGAGCCGGGATCTGATGGCAAGATCTTCAATCCATGGAGCCCTGCTCCAGCCAGGGCTTTGCAGCCTCCCCTGGCCCATTCCTGTGGAATCATTGTCGGTGTAGGAAAACCTGGTTGTAAAGCTCCCATTATTGCCATTACAGCATTTATGTGTTGTAAATCATGTAAAAGTCTCCACTTTCCTGATTTCTTTTTTATTACAAAAATTGGGGTATTCCAGGGGCTGAATGATTCTTCAATATGATCCACTTTCAATTGTTCTGTGACTAATTCTTGCAGGGCAGTAAGCGTTTCGGTAGTAAGGGGCCACTGATCAACCCAGACAGGTTTATCTGTTAACCATGTCAAGGCTACAACTGGACATTCACCACCCTGCATCACAGTGGCTCCTATTAAAAATCCATAGTAATTCTGACACCCCATTGAGACAAACAATCTCATCCCCACAGACTTTGAGGAGTATCGGCAACAGAGGGTCTGATGTTAGCTTGTTGGCCATCGGGATGTTTCACATTAATTACAACGGCTGACAAGCCACCTGTTGTAGAACTACCCAACCCTGTAAGTCCAAAACTTGCATGAGTGAGAGACCACGACTGAGGCCAACGCAGTCACGAGAGTATTGTAACATCTGCTCCAGTGTCAATCAAACCTGTTACCGGTATGGTCCCTGGAGGATATCCACTGGCTGTGAGGATGCATGTCTTTTCTGGATGGTTCTCCGTTACTTTCTCAGTCCAGAACACTTGAGGTACTTACTGTATTGGGAACAAAACTCACAAAGGCTACAAGCTGAGCGATGCAAGTTCCTTTCTGAATAGTAATAGGGCAGTCATCGATATCATAGCATGACTCTGTCCTAAATAATCAACATCAATAAGTCCTAAATGCCCATGAATACCTTTAAGCATAGTACTTGATCTCCCTATCAGAAATGCACTCAATCCGCGTCTTATTGGGCCATAGGTGTCATGGGGCTTTTTGCATATTTCTTTTGCCAAAATAGTTATTACTGTGTCGGCGGTGGGTACATCAATCCCTGCGGACCCACTTGTTGCTCCTGAGTACTGTTCGCAAATGGGTAGCTTTGCAGTACCGGGAAGGCCCATAATTGCTGTTTATGGTTGTCGGGTTATTTGTGTCCCCACACACCCCTTCGTGTTCTTCTTCCCATTTCCCTGCAACAGCTGACCATTTGCATGATACTTACTCTTGCACAGTGCCCAAATTTAGCACAATGATTGCACATAACATTGCTGCTTGCATTTGACTTAGATGTTATTTTCTGGGTATTACACTGTGCCTTTACATGTCCTTGCTGTCCACAATTACAGCATTTCGATGGTGGTCTTAGAACTGCAGCAAGAGCTGCCATTTTATGCTCTACTGAACCAATTTTTGAGCAAGCAGTAACCATTTCAGGCAATGTGGGCTTCCCAGGTATGGTGTCAATAATCTTTCTGCAGTCTGGGTTTGCATTTTCTTTCACCAATTGTATATACAATCTATGTCACAAAGGTTCATTATCTACCTGTTTTTCAATAGCTGCAGCAAGCTTTTCCACAAACTGCAAAAATGGTTCTCTCATCCCTTGTTGTATAGTAACATGTCTCTGCTTTGGAGCTGCCATTTCCATTGTTTTAATTAAAACACTCATGCCTATTTGCTGAGCTTGTGTCAAAATTGAAGGATCCCACCTTGCCTGTAAATCTGGGTTAGCAAAAGGCCCAGTGCCCAATAAGGCATCAACACCCACAGTGTGACGAGAGTCCTGTTGAAGCAGCTGCATGTTTGTTAAAGCTGTGCATTTCGCCACTCACCTCCAAGTTTCTTGAAACACACCATATTGTACTGGTTGGAATAAAATTGTAGCAAGATGCATGATGTCATAAGGTGCAAGCATACTGCATTAATTACATGTATTAACTGCATTACCTCTGAGGAATTAATACCAAACTGAGCCACTTTCAATTGGAGATCTTGCACAACCTTCCAAGCAAAGATGTGATGACTATCATTCTGCCCTGTTCCAGGAACTGCTTTAAAAACTGGAAAAGCCATAGGATTATCACAGGCAACATTTGAGTTAACACTCTGCTCCTGAGGTACTTTTGGGGCACCTAATCTTTCTATTAGGTCCCCATTTTTTTCTTCAGCTGCTTTCTTCCTAACAAATTCCCAAAACTTCTGAGGCTCTCATGGAAGCACAGTTACTTGACACAGAGGCAAAGTCCGTGGGGCAGTAGGGCTAGATCTATTAGAAGGTGAACTGTCAACAGTTCCCTGCCCCAACTCAGGTGTTACTGCGGGTGACTCTTCACTTGATTTGCTGTCACTGTCCAGCAATGGAGGATACGACCTTGCAAACTGTTCATGCAGCTCAGAAGGGGGCGGGGGGCAAATGGCTGGGCTAGAGTGGAGGGGTGTAGGTCTTAGATTCAGTCAAAGAGAAAACATAAAGTTTCTAACCAGGTAGAAGCTTGAGAAAGTGTTGAGAAAGAATGTAAATAAGTTCTTTATCTCTCTTGTAGTTCACATTGTTTATAATTGGGTTTTACTACTGTATGTCATTCACTGCACACCAATAGCGTGCGAGGTTTTCACTTCAGGACCAATAGAGTTGGTCTGCACGAAGCTCTGTATAAAAGAGCGATGTATTTTGAAATAAATCAGAGTTATAGTCTCAGCCTTCTGAACAAAGTCTATTCATTCCCATCCTGCCTCAACAGCGTCAGAGGGGAGCAGGGGGCAGACAGCTGGGTTTGTCTCTCTGCTAAAGACATTTCAGCTCACTGGCGCAGTGGTGTAGTGTATACGGGGACCGCTGCAAGCTGCTGTGCACGTGTGAGATAAAGAGGCTTAGGAGTCTGATAAGGAGGTACTTTGGCAGTCTGCCCAGAAGCCTTAGCAGCTTTCCCAAAAGCTTCAGCATCCAGCCCAGCAGCTCTGGCAGTTTTCCTGGAAGCTTTGGCAGCTGGCATAGAAGCTCTGGCAACTTTCCTGGAAGCTTTGGTAGCCTGCCTGGTAACTTCCATGGACACCTGCACCTTCTTCAAGGATGTATTCAACAAGTTCCCCATCAAAGGCCCCATCTGACTCATCCCTCCCATCAGACTCCTTTATCAACCCCAAATCTTCATCCACGTTTTACTCTGCTTGTTCCCGCTGTTTTCCATTCCTTTAATGCCTCAAAAAGCGATCTCCAAGTAACAACTGGATTGACAAGTTTTATCTCCCGCTCAGATGACTTCCCACAGCCTGTCCCTGACTTTTTTCCAAGTTTTAACACTAAATGCTGTGTCAGGATCAGTGGCAAAATCCTATGATCTAGCCCACAGCAATATACTACGAAGGGCATAGTCTGAAGTATTAATTCCCTTATTTCTTAACAAAGCTTTCCATGTAGCCAAAACAATCTCTTCCTCTTTAGATTTATTTCCCATTATTACTAGTTGGTGCCTCCCCTGCTTCCAGGTGTCCTGATAGGAGAAAATCAAGTCTGGACCTCCCTGTGGCTTCCACACGCCACTCTCAGCCGCACCAGCGCCGCCTCCCCCGCTGCTCCCCAGTGGGTCACGGCTGGGAGCTGGGACCCCGCGTGGCTCCAGACTGACCACGCTGTTCAGGCTGTTGCTCCACGCGGTGGGCACCAGCTGTCACTGCTATATACACTGTATCCCGAGGCGGTCGCCACACAAAGCACAGACCACAGGCGGTCTCAGATGGCAATTCTTTATTATCGAACATGGCTGACCTCTTATAAACTTTCTAATTGTTTATACTTCTTCTACCGCAACTATTGGCCACAAAAAATCAACATAACACCACTGGTGAACAGTAACAGTGACTTTAGTTAACTTTCTAAAAATACTTTGTCCGTCTGCAGTGCTCTCCTTATCTTTCTTCAGTTCTTCTCTTCTCTCAGTCTCCTTGGTAGCAGCCTTGGAGAGAGCTCTTTAACAGCTTCTTCTTGCTCTCAGCTTCTTTTCGCTCCTTTAGCTAACAGGCCTGCTGTTAGCCCCTTCCACAGTAATTCATCCATGAGGGGCAAGAAACAAGTAGAGCAGAATAGCATTAAAAAGTCTAGTGATTAATTAGAATTGGTTAAAGTCTGACAGACCTTGAGATGACACCAAAATTAAGCATCCTAGAGTGTAGCCTACAGCACGCTACTCGCATTTCTATATTCAGGAAACATGTTTTCTTCCTTTTACGCTGTCCTAATTTAAAAGCTGAAAGATTCAAGAGGAATTATTACATCCTCCAATGAGTCCATGAAGTTTCCTCTCAATGATCTCCTTAGTGTTACTGCAGTCTACTATTCAAGTATATGGGACAACTGTCACAGTAATCTCATTAAAAATGTGTACTTTGTTAAAATGACCATCACAAAAATCAGTCATAGTAAGGCAGATAAGACAGAATCAGTATTGATATTGAAAATCTATTATGGAAGCCGAGAAAGGCAGAATCCAAAAACTTCAGAAGTGTGTATATAATATACTCATTTAGTTGAAAAAAACTAATACATGTTTATTAGAACAAGTTTGGGGTTTTTTTAAATCTCATTTTTTCTACTTTGGATAGCTTTACCTCAGCAGTCTACAAATTATTTTTGCTGTATTAAACTAGAGAAACAAGGATATTTAGTCTAGATTTTTAAGTTCCAGAAGGAAGTATTATGCAGTGTTACAAATGAAAAGCTACGTTAGCTTCCTAATTTATCAGTAAAATACCTAACTGCAGAATGATATCAGCAAGAAATTCTATTACTTTGGAAGAGCAGGGTGATATGTTAGAGAACTCTACCTTTGCCGACACTGGAGAAGAAGGAGTAGCACAGGGGTTGGAATAGCTACTGCTGTCTGCAGGCTTCACTGAGGATTGAGCTGATCTGTCATCTGAGGATTGTCTGGAGAGCAAAATGTCTTTTTCTTTGTACTTTGGCTGGTGGAGTGCAGGAGAAGTAGATTTCACTGAAACCCTACAAAGGACATACTTTGAGTTTCACAAGCAGTCACTGAACAATTTACATTGACCTGCCAGCCTACTGCATGACCACATGTATTACAGCAACTACAAAATCTATTAAAGCCTAACTAGAAACTCATACTGACCATTCATTGCTTTTTAATGCTACTGTTAAACTTCTTCTGCTACTTCTCAAACATCACAATTCATGGACAGTATTCCTGACTGCTCTCTCCAACAGCAGCCCCAGGTATGAAATACTTCTCTTTGGGACCACAATGCAGCATACAACAGTATAACACCTTCCAACTGTACTTCCGCTGTTTCCACCTCCTATTACTAGCAGAAACTTAAGTGATACTTGTATACATAAACTGCAACCTACAGTGAGCAGAAGACCTCAGCATCTTACTTTTCAGCATGAGAGAAGTCAGACAATTCTGTTTCTGTTGAGCTGTTTCTGCTGTTGGTTGACATGCATGTAGATGCCAAAGGAAGTTCTTCACAAGTCACAGGCCTTGGTCTCTGGCCAATTCCTGAAGGCTGCTGTAGACCTGCCGACTGTTCTTCAGCACTCAGAACAGCTGTAATTGCTCTTACAGTTGTTTCATCAACCTCAGACCACAGCTTAGAAGGAGCTCGCATACGACGCAGAAACAAGCTGTGCCACTTCTGCCTGAGTTGCAGCAGCATACCAGCAGCCTGCAATAAATTCCAATTCTGTTCAATACTGATGAAAATTAGATCACACAGGTAAGAGAACCCTGTCTTTTCCATATCAGGCAGCACCTGGCATTCTAATATAAACAGGGCCCACAATTAAAGGCAAGACTAAGGTCTTGGGGAAGGGGCATAATCCATATTTAAATTAAGATGTTAATTTGCTTTTTTTTCCTTGGGTGCAAGGTAATTTTGGAAACATTTCATTTAGCTCGGTAATAAATTTAGCTTTGTATTGTAATTCCACAGACTTTTTTTTTTTCCTTCTTATCTTTCAAGAAAACCCAATCCTTTCATGCCTTATGCCCTTCCTCTCAAATCAGTCTCTACTCATGCACTCTTCAGTCATAGTTGATGGAAAAGAGCTCTAAGTGATATTTTTCTTACATAGAGACCTGGTCAAATGTGATGACTAAATTCAGACTAAATTAGACTATTGTCTAATTCTGCTACCAGAAATGCTTCCATTACAATAAATTTTAAAAAAATCACTCTTCTGGACATGTCTAGGAGAGAGAGTATTATTATTAGAGTTGGTAAAGTTGTGTGTTTCATGACCCATAAACTGCCTCCTACCACAGCCACAGCTCCTCAATGACATAAAGACTTCTATTTCAAAGAGGTTTTGAAATTTATCCTTCCAAAATCTGACAGCAACTTTCTTTCAGCAACTTCAGCTTCAAGTGCTCCTTTTTTGATCCGATTTTGGTTATCCTCTCAAAGAAAGAAGAACACAATATGCCAATGTGACTGTTCTCTCAGCTCCTGTTCAGATTTTGGCTATCCCAGCTCGTGCTATGGCCTGATGGAGCACCATGCAGGCAGGACAGGAGGCCAGAAGGAGCAGAAGGGCCCTTATGCAGTCACTGTCACCTGCAGCTTGCTGTCCCTTGCAGCCATTATCTTTTGTCTGCCAGTCTCTTCAGAATCTGCTGACGTGTGGAAAGGGACAAAACTGCCAAGCTCAGATATAAAACATCATACTGCCCAGAAAGTTTTTGAAACAGACCCAACGGCATCTGGATTGCTGAGGCTTTCCTGGTCCCTTTTGTGAGAGACAGGACACCCACATCAATAGGGAGGAAGAGGGATGAGCACTCTCAATGTTGACTTAGGTGACTAATTATTCTCTTTCTTTTTGCTGACAAGTAAAAGAATAGAAAGGTGCGGGTGATAGGTGATGAAACACTGCAACTTGGATGTTGAATACACGGATTCAGGCGACAGACAACTCTGTGCCAAAGGGGATTGAAGCCGTTTAATTATTGATGAGCTTGTGAAGTAAAGGTTAAATCACAGAGTACCTAGTTCGAGAGACCGAAATAGACCATGACATTCTTGGAGAAAATTCTTGGCTACTCAAATGTTACAAAAACCTTTTCACATCTTTTTTCAATTCCTCTACATGAAGCAAACCCAGGAGTAATTTCTTACTTACTTCAGGGTCCAGTCTGAGATGGAGCCATTCATCCAGCTTCAGCAGTGCCAGATCAGCAGATGTCTTGTCCTCCATCTCACTGTCGCTGCTATCATTAGATACCCCTCCCCCTGAATTAAAGACAAAAGGTGCATTAGCATTTCCGTATTTTTTCTACTATTATTTCTACACAAAAACCCGCATACTACGGTATTACCAGCAATAATGTTTTTCCTTCTAAAATTGACTTTAAATGTAAACATTTGTAAAACTACCTCTTCTTTTCTGCAAATACAGTGCAAAGTCTTTGCTCCAGATAGCAGCAATCAAGCCAGACCTGCTGAAGGTCCTACTGTGTAAAAACCTGTATTGATATGATGTGACCCAACTCATGTACCTTCATCACTATCCACAGGCACTATACAACTTTTGCCTAAAGCTGTTTGCAAAATCACACATGCCTCTATTTCCTGGTAAAACAGCAGATCTAAAGACCCAGTAAGAAAAAAAAAAATCTATACATATAGCTATTAATTAGGATTCTTTATTTTTCTTAAGTGCAATTCAATCAGCATGAGCACTACTCTAAGGTTCACAGTTTAAAAGCAAGACAGAAAAGCTCTAGAAATAAGTTGGACTTTTAGTTTGATTCAAACTATGACAACTAGAAGCAGTTCTTTTTGCTTCCATTCCAAGAGGACTCAATTTTAATCAGAAAAAAAGAAGGAACTTTTTATATATTCTCTATTACTCACAGTTAATAGTACAGTTAACTGAAATTAAAAATTATCAGTAGAACATGTCTTGAAAATGTATGTGTTAGCTAGAAGCAACATGACTTGTTTGCCATATTGATTGTTTCTAAATTATTCTGTTTGAATAATCTGGTTCAATGTATCAAGTAAAGTAGTCTGTAGAAAAAGAACATGCATACTACACTTCTCAGTACCAGTACTACAGTTCTCATTAGACACTGCGGCTGTATTCTTTCCTTACAAACTATACTGCAGTTTCTGAGACCCTACAACTGTGTAATTTATGGACTTGAGTATGTAAGGAATCCCAAAATGGAGAGATTTATTACAGAACCAACAAACTCTTCCTGAATAGCTGCAGGAATTATAACAGCGCTATTTTCAGAATCAGCCAATACATGTATTAAATATTACTGAAAAATAAGTTTTCCATGTCACACGCTGATGTATAGCAACGGAAACATCCCAAATCCAGACTCCAGTGTACCTCGAAAGGATGAAGATGCCTGCAAGGCATTACTTGGCAGTCTGGCTGGTCCACAGAAGAGGGCCACCGTGACAGGTGTCACAACAGAGCAGCACCTGATGTTTGCTGTCTTGTGAGCTCTCGTCATTTCATCATATATAAGCCAGTCTGTAGGGAGAGCCTGGATGGCTGCAGCTTGTCCATTTGCTGGGGCAATCTGTGCAAGAGCAGGTAAAACCAGGCTATTAAACCCTCTACCTGTAATTAATGTAAATTTGAAGGTATTTCTCATTTTATCCAGAGACACTGTGGATGCCTCAACCTGGCAGTGCTCAAGGCCAGGCTGGGTGGGGCTCTGAGCAACCTGGACTAGTGGAAGGTGTCCCTGCCCGTGGCAGGGGTTGGAATGAGATAAGCTTTAAGGTCCCTTACAACCCAAACCATTCTATGATTCTGTATTTTGAGAACTAAATACACGTACAATCACATAAAAAAGCGTGAGAGAATTCAACCAGATTCATAAATTATCCTACCATGATAAAACAAAACATTTTGCTTTAAAAAGAAATGTTAAAAAAAAGTTTCAGAGAAAAACTTGCTTTTAAGAATAGGGATCATTATATCTTTAAAACAATTTTATAGCAGGGCAGTTTTTTTGTCATTTTGCCTTGTTCCATCTAGAGAAAGGACTAATTGAAATGATGGAAAAATAGACTTAGGAGGAAGAGTGAGGCAGAAACTCGCAGAACTGTCTCCTGACAGCTAGTGACAGGTGCTTTCCTCTTGCTTCTTTGAGGACAAATACTCCCTGAACTTATTAGGAGTAGTGAATAGCTTCTGTGCATGCTTAGTTCCATATTCTGATAGAGGATTCTACAGGTGAAGGTATTTAATTGCCATGTGGCCTCTCACTTGATGGAGGACAAGAACTTTGCCATAATGTTAGGAAGTAGCCGCAGAGTGAATTCTTGAGTCTGCTAAGTGCTTTGAACAGTTTTTTGGTGGTCATTGTCTCAGTCTCTTGATCTTTGCTCTAAGATGACCAATAAGATAACCAATGTATCTTCAGCCTTTCTCATGCCATGCTGCTCTTCTTGTAGTTGCTTCATGTTTTGAACATGGTTACGGGAACTGTGCACACCTACCCTGTGACAGAGGAAGAGACTTTGCAGAGTGTAAAGGCCAGGATTCAGTCAGATACAGGAATTCCAGAACAGGACCAGGAACTACTGCAGGAAGCAGGACTTGCATTGTTTTCTCAGAAGCTGGTCACTAAACATACAGCTGATAGCAAGGTGAGTCTGGATACTCCCTTTCTTGCTTTTGAGTGAATCAGAAGACACTTCTCTCACTTTGGGATCACAGGACTTGCATGCTTTTGCCATTGTAACCTCACAGACCTGACAACCATTGTAGCATAGGCACCTATGCAGGTGCATGGGTACCCTGTTCCCTATGGTGTTCTTTGTTTAGCTGAGGAGGGCTGTTTTGTTCACGGTATTATCAAGGCTTGCTTTTCCTGAGAAAACCTAGTTGGATCTTTTGTCTTCTGCAGGTGAATGATACTGCAGCTGCAGACACAGACCTCCTCTTCCTCTTTGATAGCAAGAAAGTTTCCTATGAGGCTCAGGTGGCCTTGCGTCCTCATCCAGAAAGTGTTGACTGCATCCGTAAGGACTTTGTCTGACATGAATGTGAAGGGCGGCGGTCTGTATTGAGAGCAGTGTCCATGTTCTGCAGTCTGTGTCATGTACAAGGAGTAGAGAGAGCTTTTACATCAAGAAGCAGTAAAATAGACTGTTATTCATTCAATTTATCAAAATAACTGAAAAAAGGAAGTGTTGAATTTTGGTATATTGGGGGAATTGCACAGGGCTTATCCAGCTCTAGGCTTTACAGGTGGTAACATGCCCCTCGAAGGAGCAATGTTTTGGTCTGTTTAGTGATAACACAACTTTCTGGCTTCATGTTGATACATTTGTTTCTCTTTTCCCCACCTCCTCTGTTTTCAGTTCAGGATCCAAAGAAGAATCTCCACTTTTTCCAGTTGCGGAAAGTGTGGGGTCAGATCTGGCACACAATCCGGATGCTGAAAGAGGACTGTAACCGGCTTCAGCAGGGGCAGCGAGCAGCCATGTATGGTGGCAGTTTCTCTAAAATATTTATCTCTGTCTTTGTGCTTTGGTGAAAGGGAAGACAGAAATGGGACCTTGTGGGAATGGGGAAGCCCATGATTAAAAGCAATTAGTGAAAAGCTGAGAGTTAGCCCTTTGGCACAACTGCATTTGTCCTCACTGCTATCTCAAGTGTCTACTTTGGATGTAAGTGGAAGCCTGGTGGATTTTTATTTTTAGAGGCTAATCGGACCTTCTTGTCCATGCAGGATGAATCTGTTGCGTTACAATAGTACCCTCTCAAAGATGAAGAATTCAATGGCCTCCCTTTCTCAGCAGCTGAAAGCAAAGCTGGACTTCTTTAAAACAAGCATCCAAATCGATCTGGAAAAGTATAAAGAGCAGATTGAATTTGGAATTAGTGAGTATTGCATCTGGCAAACAGGTCTTTTCATGCCTCTTATCCTCACAAGAACACCTATCCCTTTCTCTGTGAACCTGAGAAAGCCAGTCACTCTTCTTTGATTCCTGTAGCTTCTGAGAAGCTGCTGTTTGCCTGGGAAGAGATGGAGCAAGCTGTGGAACTTTGTGGGCGGGTATGTTTCTAAATCTAACAGCTTATCATAAAGAAAAAGAGACTTGTTTTTATTATCTCTCCCCTCCTCCCCCTTTTACTTCATTGTCCCTGCCTTAAATAGAAACTACTTGTGTTTGGACTGATTCCAAATTTCACATTGCCTTGGTTTGTGTGGCACCATTTTTGTCCATTACTAGTACTACCTGAAGCTTATTCTGTTGCAAGAATTCGGAGAAAGAGGGAGGTCTGGGGGAAACCTCAGAAATGTCTTGGAAGTTGTTTTATCCAAGAGCACTGACCTAATTTCCTTGAATTGAAGTGACTCATATTCTCATTTGTCTTTGGCCAAGGCTGCTGTTTGCGTCTTGCAAACAGCAAGAAATATGTGTTTAGAAATATGAATAAGAAAGGAAGAACTAATATGAGTGGTAGTGTCTCTGAGACTATTCTGTTGCTTATGTTCTACCCTCCTTTCAGGAGGATGATGTGGACCAGTTAGTGAAAAGGATGATGGCCCTGCAGACAGACATTGTGGACCTGCAGCGAAGCCCACTAGGTCGTAAACAAGGAGGAACACTGGAGGATTTGTGAGTTGAACTGCCTTGAGCTTCAGATGCAGGAGTGTTTCTAGCTAAGCTTACTCATTACAGGACAATGAAAGGGCTATTACTTCCACCCAAATTATGGGGGACTGGGAGGACTTGAACACTGAAGTTGGCTTTTTGGTTAATTTGTCATTGGTCTGAAGTGGCAGACAGGTATAGAAAAGATTTGAGTTCTCAAACTACTTGTTCTTAATTTTGGTTCTTTGGAAATTCTCTGTTTTTTCCTGCTTTTTTTCTTCTAGAGAAGAACAAGCCAGAGAGCTGTACCGAAGACTGAGAGAGAAGCCAAGAGGTAAAAGACACTTTACTCAAGGTCAGCTTGCTTTGGATAGTAACTTTGGAGATGTAGTAATGATCATTGAGAAAACTGTCTGCCTCGTAGACCTGCCCAGACACTAGCAGCACATGGGCTCTCCTGGCCTTGCCTTTTTCTCCAGAGGGGAGTCAGGGAGTCAGTTTCACACTAGGCCAGCTTTCCTTTCTTGGTGCTTTGTAAGCTGTTCTCTAAACTCCTCTGGAGCTCTTCTCAGAGCAGGCTGTTGCCGCAAGCATATGCTGCTGCTTCTGTGTAGGAAGGATAAAAGACATTGCTGTTCCTTTGATACAGTCCCAACTCTCAGTTTCAAATTTTTTAAATTTTGAAGAAGGTGGTCAAAATTCAGTGTAATTCATCCCATGCAAATTTGCATATCCTGAACTTTGGATGCTTCAGGATTGAAGCAGAAGGGGAAACAAGCCACTAAGAATCTTCTCACCTATAAACCTGCCTTTCTGTGTAATACTGACTTCGTTCCAGATCAGAGGACAAGCGGTGACAGCCAGGAAATAGTACGACTGCTCCTACAGGCAATCCAGACCTTTGAAAAAAAAGTTCGAGTCATTTATTCTCAGCTCAGGTGAGTTTTGTAGGTTTTGTTCAGTTGAGAGAACGCATTCTCTCTTCCAGCAAGAGAAGGTTTAAAACTCAGTGCATATAGCTAATGAGATCTTGCAGTGTTACAGGAAATAAGTAGCTTTAGGAATGTTGTCCTACTACAGCGGCCCACATGTGATCTGATAAGTTTTTATTTTTTTAATAGTAAAACTGTAGTTTGCAAACAGAAGGCATTGGAATTGTTCCCCAGAGTGGAGAAAGTGATGACTCTGATGAGTGAAGATGAGGAAACAGTTGTTAGGCTTCAAGAGAAACGACAGAAAGAACTGTGGAACTTGCTGAAAATTGCTTGTGTAAGTAAAATAAAAACTCCACTTTAACCCAAGAATATGGTTTGTAGCATAGGTTACTGAAATAAGAGTAAATTGAGTATGTCCTATGGTTATTTTGAATTCATATTAAAGCCAAGTTCCAGGTTGTCTCATATTCTTGGCTGCTGAAAACTAGTGGAAATAATTGCACTCTGAATATTCTGTGTTTTCTTCAGAGTAAAGTACGTGGTCCTGTTACTGGCAGTTCAGAGAGCATGAACACATCACGTCTCGGTAGCTCGGGTCAGCTGCTGCTGCAAGTCCCTTCTGGAACATACAATTTATCAGACTCTGTAAGAAAAAGGTGAGGCAAAGTCTGGAGTTCTTCAGCTGCTAATGCCAGCACTACAAAGCTGGGCTTCCTGCTTTATGAAATAATGGCACACAGGGTTTCTCATATTTTTACACTTCATGTTCAGCGTGCATTGTCAGCAGTTTTGGTTTATTTAGTAGTTAAGACTTCCTGGGGCTTGCAAATCTTCCTTACAAAAAACGGGGAATCATGTATAGCTCCACTTCCCCCTGCCTCAGTAATAGCAGGTTTTTTGTTTTCTTCCTTTAATCTGAGATGGTTGGGCTCACTTGGAAGTACACTGCCAGCAAGAACTATTGCAGCATTGTCATGTAACGTCATAGTAGCTGAGCTGTGTCACTGAGGAGACTGCTGTAACCAAGCATGTGTAGTTCTGGCTTGCTTAAATGAACTGGGTCACCACTTGGAATGAGAGACCTTGGTTTGTTTATTTGCATGTTGCTCCATCCTTAAGTTTATAGGCTTCTCAGCTTTTTCCCTAGCAACAGTGGTTCCACATAATGAGAAGCCAATCCCATCCTGGAATACATTTCCTTTCTCCTGTGTAGTAACTCGGAGGCTGCTACCCTTTTCAAGTTGCAGTATGAATTACAGGCCTGTGACCTGACTGACTTCAGTGTTCTGCAGCATATCTGCCAGAAATATTTCTTGATGATAGAGGCAACATATCTTTAAACTGTCCATAGAAATTAATAGTGTAATAATTGCCCTTTTCAGTGAGGATCTACTGATGGAATCTCGGAAACTTTGTAGCCAACTAGAAAATGTGATGCATGACACAATGAAGGATCAAGAACAGAGTTTCTTGGTAATGTATTCATTTCTATAAATGGACTGGGAAAGTACATGTCTTCAAAGTTCTGCTTCTCCAACTTTGCTACCACTAATATAGCTAATTGAAATCTTTTATTTACTGTTGGACAAGAGGCAAGTAGGAGTTGCAGAGATAGGAAACACCTGTTCCCTCATAATCTGTTGACTGACATATTCTGCTTGCCTACACTGGGAGCCACGTGCTGGGAACTTGTGCTGAACAGTAAAGGATGGGGAAAGCACTTAGCCATTGTATGAAAATACTGCAAAACTGCACACAAATTTAAGATAATTGGGTGGCAGTACAGTGGTGGGCAGGGATGCTTAATTTAATAATGCAGAATATTAAAAAGATTGTAAAATACTAGAGTGCAAGTAAAGTAGGTTAAGTGTTTCCTTGATGGCAGTCATGTGGCTTATCATGAAATTATATTGACCAACTTGTTCACAGTGAATTTTTTTAGACTCATTAAAATGCTTTACTTTTATCCTAGAGAAAGCTTGACTGTAAGCTAGCGTTGAACTTCATTTGTTCTTTAGGCTCTAGACTGGAGCTGGCTGCAGTTTCAGGTAGAAGAAACAAACAGTCCAGGACAAACCGAGATGTAAAATCACTTTGGTTGCCTCTGAAGCCATGCTACTTTGGGAAGCCAACTGTGAAAAGCTGCTGCCTCTGAGAAGGGAGTATCAACTGCCTTCTTCTACTGTCACCAACTGCTTATGTGATACATACAGCCTAGTTTTTAGTATCCACTTGTCAGACACTTTTTCACAAAGATACAGTAGGGAATGCCTGCTCTTAACTGCTTGGAAAATGTTCTTAATTGTGCCTTAAGACAGCAGATACTCTGTCCTGATCAATCACCTGTGGCTGTTTTGCTGCATTTTAGGCTTTCTAATGAACAATGGACATACACCCAGTCACTGGTAGATTTCACCTTCCTAATGAACTGTGAACTTAATTTCTTAACTTTGCTGATTTGCACTTTTTTTCTTTACGTGTAATGGTTGTACTTACCTAATACTTGTTTCCTGTATGGGAACGAAATTATCTAAAACATGTAAACTTTTGGTTTGCTCTTTTTGATGCGCTCAATAACACTGTAATGGAAAAAGCTGCTTTCACTGTGCAGGTCTCTAAAACGTGAGAGGTGTAAAAATGTTATCCTAGAAACCACAGGAGAAGGAAATCTTCAGTGTACAGGTATATTGTAACAAAGCATTTGCAGATTATCTATTAACTGTACTTACAGTTGCATGCAAAGAAAAAAAAAAAGACCAAAAAGCCCAGCTGGATGGAAACCTGGTAAGAGTCAACACACGCCAACCTTGTGTTCTGACCGTGACCAATTTATTTCATTCTGATGTAACCCCAAATTTCCACTACAGCACAGAGACTCCTTTTACAAAAGGCCGTGAAGTATAGGACATGCAAAATGCAATACAATAGTGGGGAGAGGTTGGATTTTCTTCTGTTTTTTTTCAAACAGATTTAAAATACAGGAAACTGAAATATGGCACAAACATCACAACTTCTATGCATGCCTTCATGTGTCTTCCTTTGTTGTGCTGGCACACTCTGGACTTCAGCATTGGGTTAAAGTCATTCTTGGGAAGAGTAGAAAGTTCACACTTCTTCAAATTTCAGAGTAATATTAAGGCTGAAATGCATGGGGTACACTTTTCCTTCATCTTCCAGAGCACCACCAGTTCTTTTACTTAAAGCTGTGCTAAACTTCCAGCTCAAATCCCAGCCCGAGTTTGTGACCTCCAGCACTGAAATTCTTGGCGTCAACCAAGCCTGAGAGTGTCAGCTTTACACCTACAAAAGCAAGTAAAGAGAACCATCATACACTGAGGTCCCTGTACAGTGCTCTCTGCCTCAGCTACTTGACCTCACTAACGTGGCTTAGTTGCCACAGGAACTTGTGTACATAGACATCCTTTACTTCTGAGTCTGTGTAAAGACTTCTAGCTCCTTTGTTCATCTTTTCTGTTCTTAAGATGACAGAGAATTAAACCATAGTGTAGTACTTAATGCTGTTTGCCCATTTGCAGTGAGAATTACGTACCAGGTCGGAGGACATGAGTGTAACCAATTCCAATAAGGCTGGCATTGTTCACTTTAGCCTACAAGAAAAAAAAAAATCATGGTATTTATAAACTGAATACTTAAGTATTCTCACAGAAGTGTCCCAGTGCCCTGACAAGGGGACTTAGGCATTAACGCTCTTCAGCTGCTTGTAGATGAACCTCTATTAGAAGCATGTACCAATCTTTTCCTTTTCTCAGAATTCCTACACCAATTCTGCCTACACAGAATGCCATGCTGTTCTTCACTACCTCCTCTATTATGTCTTTATATCCTTTAAAGAGCTACTTACTACAGTCCCTCAGAGCCTTTTCACATCACTCAGGAGTGATTTTCTTTTTTCTTCTAATGAGCAGGAAATACATGAATATGCAATCCCCTTTCTGAATTACTACATTTCTCATCTTTAATTTTGGTTCAATGGTCCTGGAACTAATTGTTGCTTTGAAACATAAATGCTTGTTACTTCAGTTTTTAGTATTACAACACTCATATGTCAGCTGACTTTCAAGGGTTAACTTACTGTTCGGAGAGGGCTATAAGCTCAGCTGAACTTCCACCATTGTAACCTTAATAGGGTTTTACATTATGGATTTCAGAATTAAAAGGACACTGCGTCCTTTCACTACCTTTTAAAATACATTTTGCAGCACACTAGCACACTATTCCAAGCACAATAGTCAGACTATTTCACTATGGACAAAGTTATATTTAGGACTTCTTTTCCCCCCATAATTTCACAAGTGTGATGTGTGAGGTCCCAATTTAAATTTGAACCACAACAGAAGCCAGTTTGCAATCTACCATACTTGCTCAGTAACTAGTTAAAGCAACTGCTTTGTAACATGAATTTTCAGTATTTAGGGGAGCATTTTTGTAACAAAATTCTTACCATAACAGAAGACTTGTCATCCATTTGGTACTTTCCAGCAATACCAAAACGTGTGTTGTTACTGCCAGCCGTCCATGCGAGATTGACTGATGTCTCAACATTATTAGTAACCTTCCGATAAATAGACCCACCAAACTCAGTGCCATCATTCCTGTTTGTAACAGATGCAAGTGTGTCAAGCCTTGCCTTGTTTAGTAACTCTTTAGATTAACCTTTTCCACAGTCATTTGATCATTATCTCCTAAACTGAACCAAGAGATCCAATACTTCCCTGAGCCCAGACTCACTACTTCCTAGCTGGAGCTGGCAGACTGGTGCTCATATTTTACACAAAACATGTTTTGCTTTGCAGAATGGAACAGGACTTTGCAACGGCCAGAGATGTAGTTTGAGGTTCTGACCAAAAAAACCAACCCACCCAGATAAGTGGCAGTGGTTACTGCCACTGTGGAGTAACACATAAAGGAGTTACGGGAATGAGAAGACTGAAAACCATGTTGTTGCATTACAATTGTTTAAATACACCATCTTCAAAGCATCTCAGGCCATCTGAATGCCAAGACTAGAGCTATGCAGGGATGACAGCTGGAAACAAACAATGCTACAGCTGCCTTTCTCCTTCATCTTGGCCATTTCTGAGGGAGAAACTTTCTGTCTGATGGAGAGGGTGGGAAGGTACAATAGTTTATCTGAAGGCTTTTTTTGTCTCATGCCATTACAGAAATTAAAGCTCTCAGTTTTTAATTATGAATTACCATAAAGGACCCTTAAATTACCATTTTAGATATACAAACCCCAAAATTACTCTGAAACAAGGTGTCAAGACAGCCAAGAGATGGGAAGTTGCCCCTGTTTTAGTTGTACTGGAAATGAAAACACTGAACATAAATTAACTGGAAACAAATCAGTATCCCCTTCCCTTCACCCACCTTTGACCTAAAGCCTTTACTGCTAACTATTCCTATAGTGTGGCTCCTCTGCTGTTTTTCTAGGCTCAAGTAATACTTACACACTAGTGTGCAGCTGAAAGTCTCCTGCCTTATATCCCAAGGCAAAGTTACTTTGTGAAAGCTTATACTTAGTTGTATCATAAGCCATCTGGTAGCCAGCAAGCCAGCCTTCATAGCCCACCACTGCCCAGCCATAAATGGTTGGTCCAGAGAGATCAATGTCTACGTTGCAGCCTACATGTATATAATCTCTTTTGTAGGTGGTCTTCAACTTTCCACTCTTCTTCCTGCAGAAACATGCAGTTTTATCCACAGTAGTATACAAGTATGTAATATATGTAGTTTTAGTCCAATATGTATGTTCCTTAAGGCCAGTTAATGAAACTACTGTATTCCCTTCTCAAAACTTAACTGCTGCTGAAGAGGGCACAGGATAAGGATAATGGTATCAGGTATATTCACCTGGTGTCGCTTTTCCCCTACCACCTCAAATTCCACACAGTCCTCAAGATGCAAGAAAGACAAAATTGTTTCTCCTTAATGCTTTAAAACCCATGTGATTTCAACATTTTTTTTTCTCTGTGAGTGTAATGCATTATAGCATCATCAGTTTATTTCAGGAGCATCCATAAACCTGCAGCAATGGCTGTTTTTCAATTAAGTTTTGTCTGTTTGGTTCTCTCCACTGTTCCTTCCTTGTGCAGTGCTTGCTTTCCTTTCTTTTCCTCATAGCCAAGCAGTATTTCAAACTCAAGAATCTTCTGACAGGCTCGCCCCATCAACAAATACCAGTCCTTATTTGCAAAGCAGTCTCAATCTTTGTGCATTATTCAGACATAAACACCCCTCCTTTGCTCTACTACTTACCAAATGTAAGTACATGAGAATTGAGAAAGACAGCTAAGTGCTAGTCCATTGCCCATTCTACCTCCTCATTCAACTGCGCACAGACATCTGGCCAAAAGCATCAGCAAAAAAATAAAAAATTGGTTTACTGACTTGACAGCCTTAGGACTGCCAAGAACATGAAGACCTAGTCGTTTAAGGGGAGAGTTAGAGATTAGTACCTACTGCAGAACAATAAATTTGCCACTGGCCAAAAAGCTGAAGAATGCTTTCAACCAGAACTTGTACTTCTGAGTTAAGTATTATCCACTGCCTGCAGAAGATTCTACAGTGACTGCAGAATCTTCTCCAATAAATGCTGAGCTTTTACACAATGAGCAAAGTATTTTTAGAAGTTATGGGAAATTCTAGCAGTCTGTAGATAAAGGTAATAGAAAATGTTTACCCTGTGTTTGGTACAAATGTAGTGTCAAGAGCCACCTTCAACCCTTCAGCCAACTGCAAAGAAAAATACACATTTGCTCAAAAATCGGTTGAAACATAATTTCTTATGTTCCACTACTAGAACTCTTACTTCCTGTCTAAAGAGAAAACAAAATAGAACTATGTCTCCCTCATGATTTACAATGAAATCTGAAGATGCTGCATGACGAAGGAGTAAAATGGGACTTTTTCTTCCCACAAGCAAGCCCTTTAACAGCACAAACTCTGTAAAACCTTCCTGTTTTTACATACAGGAAGATGACACATCTAGCGCTGACAACAACAAAATTATTCACAGGATGACAGAAAGAAAACTGCTCAAGTCATGTTTCCTTACTCTTTATAGTTCAAACAGTCCATACTGTAGCTAAAAATCTCTCTCATCATCTACAGATACTCTGTTAAGACACAGTACTTCTTTACAGGCCAAAGCTGTAAATACCTGTCTCATTTTCCCCCACCTTTGTTACTAGCTAGATAGCACTTTCCATTTTAAAGCACAGATGAAAGTATAAACATGAATGGCCATACATGGCAGATGGCACTACAGAATTTTTACTATCTTTGGCATCATTACCTTATACCTGAGGCATTAAATCAAAGGCATAAACCTATTAATATCAAAAATAACCATGTTTTGAGAGTGCTGCACGCAAGCAACCCTTTGTGTAAGCAGTGCCAAGCTGCAAACATTCATCTTTCTCTTCAACCTTCCAAAAATATATTCAATCTCAAGGCAGCCAAACTTGAGTTCTTATACATTAAAGCATTTAAAATTATGAGTCCTGTATTTGGTTTCTGTGCCTGGCTGCAGCAGTGACAGTTCTACATAGTTAGGTTCATTCAACTAGC